ATCACATGCATATGGAGGAATATACTAGTATTTGACATTATCTCACACGGGCACTATCCTGGCCACTGTGTGAACCCCCATCCCCCAAAAGTTGCACGTAGTGAGGATGAATAGTGATTTCCTCACCCTAATGTTGTCATTGTACCCATGGTCCATTAGCCTCTAGTCATAGGTTTGCGCCAAATATGGGAATCCAGAGCACCCAATGATGGCCCTAATCCTACCAACGGGACAGGAGATGTCATGGTAGGTCGAGCGCAACCTCGCGGGGAATAACTTTGCGTGCACGATGAATGTGGTGGAGTTTGATACGTCTCCATCATATCTACTTTTCCAAACACTTTTCCCTTGTTTTGGACTCTAACTTGCATGATTTGAATGGAGCTAACCCGGACTGACGCAGTTTTCAGTAGAATTGCCATGGTGTTATTTTTGTGCAGAAATAGAAATTCTCGGAATGACCTGAAACTTCACGAAGAATATTTTTGGAATTAATAAAACATACTGGCGAAAGAATCAAGACCAGGGAGCCCACACCCTGTCCACGAGGGTGGGAGGCGCGCCTACCCCCCGGGCGCGCCCCCCTGCCTTGTGGGCCCCATGGAGCTCCATCGACCTCAACTCCAACTCTATATATTCACGTTCGGGGAGAAAAAAATCGAAGAGAAGGATTCATCACGTTTTGTGATATGGAGCCGCCGCCAAGCCCTAATCTCTCTCGGGAGGGCTGATCTATAGTTCGTTCGGGGCTCCGGAGAGGGGAATCCGTCGCCGTCGTCATCATCAACCATCCTCCATCACCAATTTCATGATGCTCACCGCCGTGCGTGAGTAATTCCATCATAGGCTTGCTGGACGGTGATGGGTTGGATGAGATTTACCATATAATCGAGTTAGTTTTGTTAGGGTTTGATCCCTAGTATCTAGTATGTTCTAAGATTGATGTTGCTATGACTTTGCTATGGTTAATGCTTGTCACTAGGGCCCGAGTGCTATGATTTCAGATATGAACCTATTATGTTTTCATGAATATGTGAGTTCTTGATCCTATCTTGCAAGTCAATAGTCACCTACTATGTGTTATGATTCGGCAACCCCGAAGTGACAATAGTCGGGACCACTCCCGGTGATGACCATAGTTTGAGGAGTTCATGTATTCACTAAGTGTTAATGCTTTGGTCCGGTACTCTATTAAAAGGAGGCCTTAATATCCCTTAGTTTCCAATAGGACCCCGCTGCCACGGGAGGGTAAGACAAAATATGTCATGCAAGTTCTTTTCCATAAGCACGTATGACTATATTCGAAATACACGCCTACATTACATTGATGAACTAGAGCTAGTTCTGTGTCACCCTATGTTATAACTGTTGCATGAGGAATTGCATCCGACATAATTATCCATCACTGATCCAATGCCTACGAGCTTTTCACATATTGACCTTTGCTTAGTTACTTTACCGTTGCCACTGTTACAATTACTACAAAACTGCTACTGTTACTTTTGCCACTATTACCGTTACTTCCATATTACTTTTCTACTAAATACTTTGCTGCAGATATTAAGTTTTCCAGGTGTGGTTGAATTGACAACTCAACTGCTAATACTTGAGAATATTCTTTGGCTCCCCTTGTGTCGAATCAATAAATTTGGGTTGGATACTCTACCCTCGAAAACTGTTGCGATCCCCTATACTTGTGGGTTATCAAGACTATTTTCTGGCACCGTTGCCGGGGAGCATAGCTCTATTCTTTGAGTCACTTGGGATTTATATCTGCTAATCACTATGAGGAACTTGAAAGACGAGAAAACCAAGATTTATCCCTCAACTACGAGGGGAGGTGAGGAACTGCCATCTAGCTCTGCACTTGATTCTCCTTCTATTTTGAGTAACTTGCAACACCTAAACCTGCTTCTGCCATTAATTCTGATATGTCGCATGTTATTGATGATGCCACTTCTGCTATGCGTGATGCTTATGATGAAACTACTTCTATGCTTGATAATACTGTGCCATTAGGTGAATTTCTTGATGAACAACTTGCTAGGGCTAGAGAGATTGAAATTATTGAAACTGATAATACTGATGAAAGTGATGATGAAGATTCTCCCCCAGATATGAATTGCCTTTTGTGCCTGAGGATTATGTTATGGATGAAGAAACTGCTAGAGATTTTCTATGTTTCTGCCCTACGCTTTTAGGGAACTTGCCGGCGCAGGCACCCTTGCCGCGAGCGCTGAGTGCGGAACGTTAGCAGCCTGCTGGCGGTGTCGCTACCGACAAGAAACCTTGTCGCAGCTAGTCGCAGCTCACTTAAGTTGTTGAGCGGACTCGAAACAAAGTAAGGGCGCAACTAGCTATGAGTTGGTTCCTCCGCGCACAGGTTTTCCATACAAAGCACGGTCGTTCAAGGAAGATAACTTAAAAAATTAAAAACTGATTGCTCAAACTTTGGCAACTTAGCTTTTCTGTCGTTTGCTTCCCGGCAAGGCGAAACTTTCTTGAACGGCCCGGTCCATACCATTATATTCTCCTTTCCCCCCAGCAAACCTTGTGGGCGAGGGAACCTTCCTTCCTTTGAGAAAGAGAAAGAAGAGAAAATAAAGATATGGAGCCTTACAGCTCGTTATTGCTTACCGGGGGTAGATGCTGCACAAAGTGTCAGATGATACATGCGAAAAGAACGAAAGCATGAAATTTACAAGCTGTGCGAAGCACATGAACTTTATTTATGCACGGGGTCTGCGCCCGGCTTTGTACGAAGGATTACATGCAACAGCGGTAAGACTTGTACAAAAGGTGGTTGCCGGAACGGGTTCCGGCAACGGCGCCCTACAGGTAAAACTTACGAAGATGCTCAATGTTCCAGGAGTTGCTCACCGGAATGCCATCTTCGGTCTCAAGGCGGACAACGCCAGGCCTAGTGACTCGTTTCACCCGATAAGGGCCTTCCCACTTCGGCGTCAACTTGTTGGAATTCTTGGCGGACTGAACGCGCCGAAGAACAAGGTCGCCTTCCTCGAAACTTCTGGCCCTAACTTTGCGGCTATGGTAGCGGCGCAAAGCCTGCTGATATCGAGCAGCTCGTACAGCGGCCTGAAGATGGTCTTCCTCAAGGAGCAGCGCGTCATCTTGCCGCAGCTGCTCTTGCTCAAGCTCATCATAAGCGAGCACTCGAGGAGACCCGTATACGAGTTCCGTGGGGAGAACTACCTCTGCTCCATAAACTAGAGTAAAAGGTGTCTGGCCAGTGGCTCGATTTGGCGTCGTTCTAATCGACCAAAGAACCACCGGCAGCTCCTCAATCCAGTTCTTTCCGCACTTGCGCAGCCTGTCGAAAGTTCTGGTCTTGAGCCCTCGCAGCACTTCAGCATTTGCCCTCTCCGCTTGACCGTTGCTTTTGGGATGAGCAACA